TTCACTGATGGCCAGTTAGTGTTCTAGGATGGACCTGTCATTCCAGGCATGACTTCTACAAGACCTGAGAACAAATGAGGGGACAGCTGGAAGCAGCCTTGGGCAGAGTTGTCTTTGTGGAACCCGTCATGGTGAGTCCTTGCGCCTTAGAGAGATGCTCTCAACCAGTCTCCATGAAGACCCAACACTTTCAGCACTTTGAGTTTACCACCTGCCCCGTCCAGGCAGTTAGTAAAAGGGAATACCTGTCAGATGGCAGGAATTTTCCAATACTCTGCTGGCATGTTCTTAAAATAGCTTGGGAAGAACACAGGAAAATAGCCAAGGAGCAAAAAAAAAGCAGCGTTAGGAAATCAGCGATGTTACTTTTGCAGTGGCTGAGAAAGGTTGGAGGAGTTTGATTGCAGTTTCCCTCCCCTTCCTTTTGTAGGAGCTCTGAATTGGGCGAGGCTCCCACAAAAACAAAAACAAAACAACAACCCTAGAACGGTTCAGTGTTTTTCTGCACAGGCCCAGCAACACATCTGTGTGAATCCCAGGGAAGGGAAGGGAAGGGAAGGGAAGGGAAGGGAAAATACAGACCCAGTGTGTGCCACACCAAACAAATGTAATCTTTCACCCAAAGACTCCCCATAGAAGAACATCAAGCATGCCCTTCACACACAAAAAACACTTAAACATAGACCCCTCCCCATGTACACACACAAGCACAGACAAAATAACTTTAAAAATCAGAGTAACAGATTTTACGAAAAGTCATAACTGAACTGAAAGCGAATGCCTTTTCACAAGATATGCTAGTCTGAAAAGGTCCTACCAGCCTCCTCTTGATTTTTGGCTGTTATAGATTAACATGGCTCTCCTCCTACAATGCCTTCTTTAAAGATCCTGGAACTCACACAGGCACCCAAATCCTGTGTAACGTCTGGTCACCACAACTCAAGAGGGACATCATGGAGCTGAAGGTGGCACCAAAAAGGGCAACCAAGATGATCGCAGGGCTTGAACACATCCATATGAAGACAGGATGCCATGGCTGGAGCTGTTTCACCTTACAGAAAAGACATTTATGAGGAGATGCAATTGAGGTTTATAAAGTTATGCATGGCAAGCCTATAATACCGGGAAAGATGGAAGAGAAGACCAGAACAACCAGCAGCAATCACAGTGCACCATTGGGAAACCCGAAGGACCAGGTTGGAGACAGATCATTCTGGAGAAAGTCTGTTTATGTGGTTGCTAAGAGCCAACACTGATTGACGGCATATAATCAATTAATCAAAGAAAGGGTGACAAGGGAGTTTTTCCCATAATACTAGAACTAGAAACCACTCAACAAAACTGACCATAGATTTCCAACTAATAGGAAGGAAATCTTTTTTCATGCCATTTGTAACCAGCCTGTGGACTACATTCCCACAAGCTGTGGTCTTGGCTGCTCATGTGGATGGCTTCTGAGGGGGAATAGACAAAAGTAGCCTTGGTCTACTTGGGGGGCTGCTTGGAGCATAGGCGCAGTCTGCTAGGTACATGGAAGCAGCTAGGGAAGAGGAGGGCTGCCTTCTCGTGTATGTATGTATAAATAAATAAACAGAATGTTATTTATAACACATATAAGCATTTTTTTATGCCTTGGTTTCCTATTTGTGGGAAACCCTATTAGAAGCACCCAGTAAGCCATTGTATGAGACAGAAAGTTGGCTCATGGGCCAAGGCAGATCCATTCCCATTCAAGCAAACACACAAGAATCAAACCAACAGAATTCTCACATACATACATACATACATACATACATAAGAATGTAAGAACAGTCCTGCTGAATCAGCCCAAAGTCCTCCTGTTCAGCAGTTTTCAATGAGATGCCTCTAGGGAGCTTGGAAACTGGAGATGTAAACATGCCCCTCTCCCCTTGATGTTCCGCTGCAACTAGAATTTGAAGGCATATTGCCCCAACCTGGAATATTCAAGATGATAGTCCTCAACAGGCTGTCCTCCATAAACTTATTCAATCCTCTTTTAAAGCCACCCAAGTTAGTGGCCATCACCACATCTTGTGGAAAGAGGTCCACAGTCTCTTGAAGTGCTATGAGAAGAAATGTTTTCTTATGGGCAAAATACACAACAATCCTATAACCTGTTACGGAGACAGACTTGGTCATGCTTGTAGATGACTTGTGGTGAAGCGAGGATGGGGGTGGTGCGTCTGTCCTTGTGCTCCTTGATGTTTCAGAGGCTTTTGATATCATCACCCACGCCATCCTTCTGGGAGTTGTTGATAAGTTGTTGTAAGATATTGTAAGATGTTGGGAACATCTTAAAGTTCCCAAGGTCGAGAAACACTGACTTTGGTAAAGGTGTGACTCCAGCCTTTCTACATTTTCTCGTGCTAACTGCATTGGGGATGTCTTGGACTGGTCCTCCCCACACTAGAACTGTTTTTTTTTTTGGTTTTTTTTTTTTTGCCATTGCCCCTTGTTTCAAGCAATTCTCACTCAGGGGTTCTTTGTTTCTGGCATTAAGTGTCCCCTTAATGTAGGAGTTGAAGTCCACATATCTTAAAGTAGCCAAGGTTGAGAAACACTGACCTAGCGTGTGCTGTGAAAGTAGGCTCCTATGCAAAATCCTAGGCATGATGCCCAGGGACCACACTAAGCAACCTTCCTTTCCTGCTACTAAGAAGCTTTCGATACTATCTGGGGATTGACCCCAAAGACAGAGAAAATTAATTGGGATTGATGAGCAGGTCCTGATTTCTTTACTTATCTGCTTTTCTTCAGCAAACCAGGCATAAAACAAATCTTGCATTAGGCAGGACTACAGACATATGCCAACTGGATGCAAAATTTGAGGGGCCTGTGTAAAGGTATCCTAGCAAAAATAACATAATAAAATAAAATAAAGCAGCAAGTAAACCAAAAAGAAAAAAGAAAAAAAATGAGGACATTCCTAGAGAATGTTTAACTGGAGATCATCCAGAAGGTTACCATAGCATTTATTTCCCCGTTTCTTACCATAATCTCAGCTGCTGCCCCAAAATAGACCATCTCGCTGTGCCTCAGGGCAGGACTGTGTGTGTTTTGAAAACACCCCGTTTAGGATTTGCTACAAGAGGCCACATTGTTCTTGGAAACCGTAGCTGCCTCGGGCGTGATCAAACGCTCGGCCCCTTCCGCTGGCCTGACACGGGGCCAGTAGCTGCCTGGCTGTGTCACCCGGGCGCTCTTCCCTTGGCATCCCCCCGCAGCTCAGAAGGGCCCTCTCCCTCCCTGGCTCCCCCCCCTTCACCCCAGGACCTCCCTTGGCATAGGTGCATGGACTTGCCGGCTCAAGGTGCCGACCTTTTGGATTCCTTTTATGCCGTAGAAGGCTCTTTTTGCCAGCTGACCCTTTGGTGTAACTTTGCTGGAAGTTTCTGCACTAAGATAGACTTAGCCGGGTATTTATATACACAGGCAGCATCGCCCAAGTTAACAGCATTCCTACACTATTGAGTCAAACACCTCTCCACAATCAGAGGGGGGGGGCGCGTGGGCTGAGCCGCACTCTTGAAAAAGTACAAAAGCACATTTAGTTTTTTTTTTTTTTAAAGAGCACTGTAGTTTATTCCTTTTAAAGCTGCTTTCTTGGTGTTTACCCAAGTTTCCGCAGTGCAGCTGTACCTTGAAGTGAGCAAGTCAAGGAAGCCTTACACTTGGACGGAGGAGGAGGAGGAGGAGGAGGAGGGGGTGGCTTCGTGCCACTGGTTTGTTCAGGAAAGCTTTTTTGCTTGGTCAACTCATCAAGCAGATGGAAGCCAGCAAGTGCTGCGGGTGGCTTGCGTGGGGCTGAGTCGCTTTGCGGAGGCCACAAGATGCCTCCTTTCCATAACGATGATGCTCTTATTAATTATTCCAGGACAGTGTTTCTCAACCTCGGCCACTTGAAGATGTGTGGACTTCAACTCCCAGAATTCCCCA